TATTTTCATACAGTTGATGAGGTATTGTCCGACGATGGAAAAGTAGACTTTTGCATTAATCCTTAATAAGGCTGTACTTTCATGTCTGTTTTCATGGGAACTGCGTTTGTTCCTGTAAAGATGCAAACAGCTTCTGTTCTCAGAACCCTCCGAAAGAAGCGGAAATTACCATTTTGTCCACAGAAAGATTAAACGCAAACAAATGTCTTATCTCCTTTGATTCGCTCTGGTTCTCAATCACAAGTTGTAGTGTCAAGCTTTAAGGCTTTGAGACATAGTTTCAAAAATGTGAAAAAAGTGCATGCAAAATTGTCTCAATTGACATTTTCTTTACACATTGAATAATTCAAGGGTGAATGGGGAAATCATGGCAATTATTCCTCTTAAATGTAACGGTAAGGTTCACTGCAACTAGAGGTTGTTGTACCCGTGAAGGTCTGGGTTAGATTTGGCCTTCAGTAACCCATGCTTGTTGTAAGAGGCGACTAACGGGATCGGGTGGTCAGGCTCGCTGGCTTGGTTGACACATGTCATAGGTTCCCAATTGCGCAGATCGATGCTCATGCTATTGATCACTGGATTGTCTGGTCCAGACTCGATTATTTACAGACCGCCGCCATATAACTGGAATATTGCTGAGTGCGGCGTAAAACTCAACTCGTTAACTCAGAGGTTGTTGTAAGAGGCGCCTACAGTAGTTGGCCATAAGTGAGTCATCATTTGCGAAATGTCCATAGACTTGCATGTTAATTAACTGTTGCAAGAATAATGTTCATGAATTTACTTTCGGTACAATGGATCGGACGGTAAGGCAACGTGATTTGATAATCGGGTAGATCGATGTTCGTGATGTCAGTCACTGGATTGTCTGATCCAGATCGATTCATACAGCTGGAATATTGCTGAGCGAGGTATTAAACAACCAATTTTAACATGCCCTTTGCAAATCCAATGAACTAGTGCCTAGCAAACTAGGTGCAGCGTCGAATTTAGAAGCTGTTAGGTGATTAGAAAAATGAAATTAATTTTAACAAACCCAATAAAGGAAACTAACACTCGTGACAAAGACAGAAAGGTATGTTCAGTCTCGGTTGACTTGGTTGACTTAGTGCGGCGTTAAACAGCCAACCAACCCACCAACCAACCAACCATCAATCAATCAAACTCTCATGCATCATTAATTGGAAATAGTATCAGTGTTCAAATTTATGGTGTGTATTTTGATGAAAGATTAACATGGTCACACCATATCACAAATTTCTATAACATGTACCAAGATCATCAAATTGTCTATTAAAGTGTATTTCAAAAACGAAGTGGGTGGTGATAAGTCAGCTATGTTTCAACTATGCTTTACAAGGAAGAGCTCTTATCCAGACTTGACTAAATTTGCTATGTCTAAATGTCATCTAAATGCCAATAAGCTTGGCCGTATTCAGTCTAAAGCTTTGAAAATATCCACGGGAGTCTATGCATCGACACCAACCTCAGCGCTTCAAGCTGAGTGTTCAGAAATGCCTCTTCACCTTTGAAGACAACAGGTAACCTTGAAAAATTTCTTAAAAATGAAAACTAAGAGCAAAAACCATGCAGTCACTGAGATTGTTAATGACTGTGTCCAATGCTTCAAATATGACTAGTCCCCAGGCAAACCTCAGATTGGTTTGAATACACAGAGATTAGCTGTTCAATATATGTTTTGCACATGTAATCCAGTTGATCCTTCTGCTCCTCCTGTCACACCCCAGTGGCTTCTACTGAAGCTGACTGAGTTCCGAACTTTTATTGTGAACAGGAAAATGAATAAAGACATAACAAAAGTAATAACCCAAGACTTTCTGACTGAATATTATCATAATTTCACATATATACACTGGTGCATCAAAAGAACTATCTAATGATCTTACTGCTGATGCTTTTTGGATACCTGATTTCTCGGTCGCTAAGATGTTCAGACTCACAGATTATCTTGCGGTTTTTACAGCTGAACATTTGTCCATTTTGCAAGCCTTGAGATGGGTAGATGGACATGAAGCAATTATCTTTACAAATTCCATGGCATCAATTAATGCTATAGAAGCTGGTTCGAATGGATCCAGATGTGACTTTGTTTATGAGATATTAAAGTTGGATGCATTTCTAAACACGAAGTACATTGCATGTGATATTGTTTGGGTCCCAGCACATGTTGGAATACATGAGAGTGAGATCGCAGATAATTTGGCCAAATCCGGATTACAATGTCCTGAAGTTTATTTATTACAATTTCAAAACTATTTTATCGAAATCTGTTACAAGGAATTGCCAACGGTTGTGGGATGTTGGTACTACCAGCCGACATATGTACGCATTTAGAACATCTTTAAAATCTGGACTTAAAATCCGTCGTGAAAAAAGGTGTGATGTTATTCTTGGACCCTTTGGTTGGAGTTGAGTTGGGTTGGGTTTCATGTCGCATCGGCATTACCTCAGCCATTATCTCAGCCATATAGCGACGAGACCTGGACACTTTGGGCTGAATGCCTATAGGAGTATCGGTCCCTTCCAAATGTGGCCATTGCAATTTGGATACGCCTGAAAATAGTGAACATTACCAAATTAAATGTCCTGAACATAACAGCATAAGTAAAAATCTCAGAGGTACGGTACTTGAAGTTGCTGATATAACTGTTTTGGGACCCAATATCATATATGAATCCATGCAACGGGCGGTTCTAGACTTTGTCTCATTATCTGGAAAATATGATGTTATTTATACAGGCTCTCAAATGGCTTAGACAGATTCTTTTTTCCTTTTTTGTGAATTTAAATCAGTTTTACGCTCTGTACTATGGACCTACTCTTTTTTTATTAGATGAGTATTATATATTTCATATTTTATTTGTATGTCTTTTCTATGTCCCCATCATTAATGATATATGTATATAAGTATCCAAATGAATATGTTAATGCTTACGGCTCCTTAATGTTATCTAAACGATTCTTTTTGGCGATTACCCGTGAAGGTCCGGGTTAGAATATTGATCTTCAGTAACCCATGCTCGTCGTAAGAGGCGACTAACGGGATCGGGTGGTCGGGCTCACTGACTTGGTTGAAACATGTCATTGGTTCCCAATTGCGTAGATCGATGCTCATGCTGTTGATCCCTGGATTGTCTGATCGAGAGCCGATTATTTACAGACCGCCGCCATATAGCTGGAATATTGCTGAGTGCAGCGTAAAACTAAATTCATTCACTCACTCACGTTTTGGCGATAAAATACCTTTATTATGATTTATATTAAGTTAAAGGCACTATATCACACCACACTTCTCTAAAAATAAATAATGTATTTCCCTCAATAATACTATCAGCCCTCAGGGAAGCTACCATATAATTATTCCAATATTTATATCAATATTAAAGTTCAAATTAATTAATGCAACGTTGCAGTAAATCGTCCCTCTGCCGGTCGAACATTATTTCAAGCGAACCCCATAGAGCTATATCCCTTGGAGCGCTCTTTATGAATATCCTACGCACAACTTGTGATTGAAACGAGTTATGCAAACACCGTCAACACTGCGTGCGACAGTTTTCGATGTACGGAGCAATTGTTTACATTCCATATATGGCAAGCGTTTTCTATTTGGAAGCTGTTCGCCTCGAATTTCAATTATCGATTTCAGGCAAGTCGTAAGGCATAATAAGTCTTTTATTGCATCAATAGGAAACTAAAGTGAGTGCATATGCCCCAAAATCTATAATATTGTCCAAAATATTGTCGGAAATGTGTGACATTGTGCCTTTCACTCTCCTACCCAGAATTCCATGCGGCAAGCCAGCATAGTACCTCTGCCACAGGCCAGAAAAATGTGACGATTCGTCACATCTTGCAATGTCCATTCAATATAATGTACAGATTTCTTTTACTCTTTTCTTTTTGACGAGTCTACACATCTAACTAAACATCTTTAATAGAATGGTTTAGTTTCACTGAGAAAATATCCAAAAATTTGTAACACTATTTCTATTTGCGTAGCGATCCTTTGTTTACATAGGTTGTACGGCTCCACGTGCTGTCATCGAAGCCGACGGAAAGCAAACGATGCAGCCAGTTTGATATCTAATATGTATTGTCATAGACCTAACTGTCGCAGTTGTGGAAGAATATATATGTAACAATGTAAAACATTATGAAGAGAGCGCCGTAAAGCTTTCGTGAGTCCAGTCTCTTCTTATTATGAATATGCGCGTTTGATTACAAACAAGAGAAAAGTCCGGTCACGTGATATGCAAATTAGCCTGTGGCAGTGTTGTTATGTTAAGTCATCGCTGTGCCGGAGTGTGTGTGCCTTTAAGTTCATGCGTTGGGCGCAAATAGTGCCTCTAATTGGCCCACGTCACCCTAAAACTGAAACACCACCGCCACTTCCTGAAAGGAGCATGGAGATACGGCAGAAAAGGTACAGTGACTGGAAATATAATGAAAAAGGACAAAATTCTGTTGTGTGGCATATTACAGATGGAATCGTAGAGAGAAAAGCATGAGTGTTTAATCGATGTAATGCACAGTACACATTCAATCTTTTCACCCACTGGTAGTCACATGTCTTGGAAGTACAAACGCCCCTCTAGCATTTCAAGTGCACAATTATTTCCCAGCAAAATCTATAAAACGAATGAAACATGATGAAAGTGATGTATGTATTATTCACCAACTATGTTAAGATAAATAGTTGCATGAAACGTAGGATTTATTAATCAATACATTTCTCTACCAGCGTGGCCTTGTGTGTTGGGTTTTGCCAAGTGAATCCATTATATTTGTTTGATTGTTTTTTCATTTCGACGAAACATACAGGGATAAACAGACAATCTGCCGTTAGATATTTCTTTTAACGATTTTACAAGGGAAAATCAATATCACCCTGAAAGCATTAAAGTTGGAGCATCTTGCCACGACCAAACTATTAATCATACATGTGTCGTCAGCAGCAGCAGCAGCAGAAGTCGCGGCAGCAGCAGCAGTAAGTCATTTTCAACTTCATTTCAAATCATAATTCTCAAACGTCATGTTAATATTATAGTTTATGTAGCGTCCGTATAACCTGTATCTGTGTTAAAAATGTTTAATGCCTATTGCTGGTGTTCCCAGAAACATATATTGCCGGAATATTGCTAAAAGGCGCGTAAAACCGTACTTACTCATGTATGCCGACAAAATTGGTTTTGAAGCCTTTCATTGTGTTACCACCTTCTTGTTCTTTTGGACAACGTCTTTCTAGACAGTGGAATGTTGGGGGTGGGGTGGGGATGGGTTGGAGATGTGTGTGTGTGTGTGTGTGTATGTGTGTGTGTGTGACGTTAACAGACGTTAAATGCTGGCACTTGTTGTTGCCATGCCTGCACTCGGCATAAAGGGAATAAAGCAAGGGTTTGTTATCACGGGATTAGCGGGCTCTGCAAGACCTGACTATGCCTTTTTAGTTCTTGTTCTTTAGTTTAGTTTAGTTTTTAGTTAGTTGTTGTTCTTGTTCTTGTTGTTGTTGTTCAACGCCACACTCAGCAAAACGTCAGCTATATATCGGTGGTCTGTAAATAATCGAGTCTGTATCAGACGAACCAGTAACATCAAGAGCCTCAAATCTATACAATCTCGTACGATGACATGTGTTAACCAAGTCAGTTAACCTGACCACACGATTCCCGTTCGTCGCCTTTTACGACGAGCATGGGTTACTGAAGACCAACTGTGACCCGGATCTTCACGGATGACGTATATGTAGCAATGCGAGTGCAATGAGTACTTTGATCTCGAATGCGACATTGAAACAGATTTCCTCACAGATTCTCCTTACCACTGTGGTACTCGCTTCGGTACATTCATGAAATGTTTTACGCATCCCAGTGTGTGATACTTCAGTACTCTTGGACAAAATCGTCTTATAAAACTCGCTTACTTTTGTATGATAATTCTCACAGCAAGTTCACAGATTTCCAGATGGGTACCCTCCAGCTCAAAACGTGATCGTATACACTTGTTATGGAGTGTGGTGCCACACGGCTTAGCAACATATTGGTTCAGTGAGTGAGTGAGTTGAGTTTTACGCCGCACTCAGCAATATTCCAGCTGTATGGCGGCGGTCTGTAAATAATCGAGTCTGGACCAGACAATCCAGTGATCAACAACATGAGCATCGATCTACGCAACTGGGAACCGATGACATGTGTCAACCAAGTCAGCGAGCCTGACCACCCGATCCCGTTAGTTGCCTCTTACAACAAACATGGGTTACCGAAGATCAATTCTAACCCGGACCTTCACGCGTAATCTTGATTCAGATTTACGGAACTTGCCCAATTACAAGACGAACATTATAAGGAGTTGCTGATTGTATTTAGGGACGCATCCAGGAAAACCCTATCTCTATATAACAGAACCCGATCACATTATTCCTTTCACCACGAATAGGTGCACAATTGCGTCATGCAGTATACACTTACTCCCTGTTCTCGTTTTAACTGTTCCGACAAGAACAACAATCTGGGAAAAAACACATCAACCACTAAAAGTAAATCAATATAAAAAAAGGAAAATAAACAGCGTTCTGTCGATACAGTTTCTACACAAATTGATCATCATATTTTGGATCTGATGGATGGACAATGTCAAATCGATATGATGTAAAAACAAACTTCGTGATAAATATATATGCATACACCTTCGGGGAAGTTATGGAAGTGAAGTACGCACTTGGCGTTGGGAAGTTTGAAAGATTTTTCACGGATGAGTTCAATCCGATACAGTACTCTATTTTCACTTGCACCAAAGGCTCTTCTGGTGAAACATCGACTTGCATGTGTATGTGACTGCTGCTACGGGTGGAGCAGGATACGCTAACGTTTCGTGAAACACCTGGTGTCATTACTATTTTACGATATGAAAATGTTTTGTTGCTTTTGTTTACGTATTCATGGCACTTCGTGAGACCTTAGTACTTCCGGTGACAAACAACGTTTCATACCTTTCCGAATGATCTCATTGTTGTTAGCTGACAGTAAGGAACCGATAATCCTTGTAGGAATATAAAAAATCCGATCTAACCATCCCCAAATTAGGCAACTGCGACTGTCAAAAGCTGTGACAGCCAAGCATGGTTGTACACTTGGTTCGGTCTAGTAAAGTCATATTTGGCGGTCGCGCAATTTGGAACCAGAACTGGTTCTTGAATATACGCTTGCCACCGGAAATCTGGTACCGGTAGTAAGCTGGGCGCCGTCTCGCATATCGCAAAACCCTGGAAGCAGCTTTGTACCGGAAGTAGCGCCTCGCGAGACTTACAGGCCCTATTCTCCACCTGGTATACAGAAGATTTTGAGTAAGGTCAAACGTCCCTTTTAGCAATAAATACTCAGCGTGAAGATCCGAGTTAGAACTGGTCTTCAGTAACCCATGCTTGTCGTAAGAGGCGACTAACGGGATCGGGTGGTCAGGCTCGCTGACTCTGTTAACACATGTCATCGTATCCCAGTTGCGTAGATCGAAACTCATGCTGTTGATCACAGGATTGTCTGCTCCAAACTCGATTATTTACAGACCGCCGCTATATAGTTGGAATATTGCCAAGCTCGCTGACTTGGTTGACACATGCCATCATATCCCAATGGTCTAAATCGACTGTCTGGTCCAGACTCGATTATTTTAAGACATGTAGCTGGAATATTGCTGAATGCGTCGTTAAACTAACAAACAAACAAATGCACTCTGAGAATACAAGAAGGATAATCACTCACTATTGTCTCAAGATTATCAATAGAAACCAGTCACCAGTTATTACTCAACATCCCATTTTGCAGTCCCAAGTTTTTCCCGACCTCCAGACTGTTCACTATGGAAAGTACCTTTCTCTCAGATTCTTTTAGTCAAGATTAAGGACGCACTTCAAGGACAATACAATTACTTTTGCCAATTGATTCAAGCACTTAGTATGTACATTCTGTGTGTGTATTCTCTACAGCGTCTGGCAACAAGCAAACATTTATTTTATACAAACTATTTGAGTGCCTTGTGCAACCGGTAGAGCAAGACATGCTTAACACTTGGTTTCCATCATCCCTTCATGTGGTTTTATCGCTACTTTGTGTTTTAACCAAACTGAATCAACTGAGTGGTTGATTTGGTGCAGGCCAAGGTCCCCGAATTTCATCAAAAGCTCGGTAAAGGTCTCGTAATGTAGAAAGTTTGATTGACAAGCCCAATTAATGTCACTCACTGTCAAACACTTCAGTTCCCAATATATTGCAATACATACATACATACTAACATTTGTATAGCGCCGATGTCCAGCTCAGCTCAGCTGCTCAAAGGCGCTTTGTTTTTCCCTCGTTCACTGGATGTCAATCTAACGGCACATCGTATTGTCAGTCTCAACTCCCTGGGGAGCATACAACTCTTGCATCCACTAGGCACACCGAGTTAGTGTGGCATTCTCATCCTTACGAGGTACCCATTCACAGCAGGGTGGACTGGAACACATAGTCACAGTACTTTGTCCAAGTTTACTGCACGTTGCTGTACCCGCAACTGGGTGTTTGCACGTATTCATGTGGCCACCATCTGGTCATATACCAACGTATTCGTGGGTTCTTTTAAGTGCACAGGGTTGTGTACTGTACACTAGGGGTTGTGACAACACTGAAAGAGTCTGCACACAAAGCTGACTCCAAGGTTTTTACACCCGGTCACAGGTGGGCTCGATCCCGTCACCTCAAGCTCGCTGGATCACTAGCCTGGCGCTTTAGCCAGTTCGCCCACCGCTATAAGGATACCTGAATCTTAATATAGCTGCCCTTACAACCACTACTGCTTCAACTGCAACAGCTATTGCTACATCTTCTGTCAATATTACCACAAATACTACTACGACAGCTACCACCACTACTACAGCTGCTGCTGTTGCTACTATTATTACTACTACTACCTCAACTACTGCTGCTAATACTGCAAGAATAATTACCACATCTGCTGTCAGTATTACTTCTACTACTGTTACACATACACATATCATTACTACCACTCCCACTACTACTACCACTACTACAGCAGCTACTACTACTATTACTGCTTCGACTACTGCAACTACCCTTACAATTACTACTGCCACAACTATTACTATATATGCTGTCACTATTACCACACCTACTGTCACAAATACAAATACTACTACAACTACTGCTACTACTACAACTACTACTACTACTGCTGCTACTGCTACTACTACTACTACTACTACAACTACTACTTCTTATACTAATACTGCTACTGCTACTGTTACTGCTACTACTACTACTAGTAGTAGTACTACTAGTACTACTGCCACTACTACTACTACCTCTACTACTACTACCACTACTACTACTACTACCACTACTTCTACTACTACTACTACTACTACTACAACAACTACTACTACTACTAGTACTACTTATCACCACTATATTACAACTACTACTTCTTCTAGTTCTTCTGCTGCTGCTGCTACTACTACTATTGATGGGGCGGTGGGGTAGCCTAATGGTTACAGCGTTGACTCGTCACACCGAAGACCCGGGTTCGATTCCCCACATGGGCACAATATGTGAAGCCCATTTCTGGTGTACCCCGAGGTGATATTGCTGGAATATTGCTAAAAGCTTCGTAAAACCCAACTCACTCACTCACTACTAGTGATACCACTACTTTCGGTCGACAGAAGAACTTGAATGATTGTGACAATAACAAAGATACGAGTAAATACTCGCTATTTACATTACAATACACATTGCATTACAATATCGTATACACACAATCGTTGTGTTTGGGAAACACCACAGATGGTCGGTTAACAGAGGCTTACATGATGTTAAATCAACGCCAAGCTATTGAGATCGATGTTCAAAGCACGTTCAATGAGGTCATACATTTTCTCCTTGTTTTTTTCCAGATGCTTGTCGAGCTGTTGGTAGCTGTCATTTTGACAACATCAGGTAACGCACACATGAATCAATCGTGTGTATAACGGGCCACAGTAACCCATGCTTGTCCAGCGAGGCGGCATCAGTGAGTGAGTGGGTGAGTGAGTGAGTGAGTGAGTGGTGGATGGGTTGGTGGGTGAGCGAGTGAGTCTCCCTTTTAACCTCTTCCCTTGTAACGATCTCCCACTATGGATAATTGTGACCCGTCCGATTGTGTTTAATTTGATTTTCGCTTCGAGTGATCCAGACTGAAATATGATGCGTTACTGAAACAATAGCCCAACACACACACAGACACACACGCACACACGCACACACGAACACGCACGTAAACGCACACGCACTTCAGAAATTCACCAACATCACCCGGTTTTTATCAGGTGCAAAAAAGTGGTCCATAACATGAGAAACGGGGTTGTAACTGGGCAACAACTTAAATGTTCTGTCTAGTCAGCTCAGGGACCTGGTTCAATTCCCACGTCATAGGTCATTTCTGATGATCGTTAGTGGAAGCATTAATGAAACGCTCGAAAATGTCAAGAGCTCATGAGACAGGAATATTTTAGAATCAACATCTAGATGATGATAACTTTAATAAAACCCTATCAAATCGACATTGGAAACAATTCACAGACTCATTTGTGACATAATTGCATATTGTTTTAAATTCCAGTTGACTCTATGAAAACTCAGAAGGGGAGAAACTTCCTTCTTCCATTCTTGGACACAACTGGATCAGCACGTTTGATGTTCATAACGGACAAACCGACGGAAATAAACATAAACATAATGCCCTATGCAGCCAGAGCTGTCTTTCTACAAGCAAACCAAGTCCATAACGAGTCCGTCAATGTAAACGATGTTGGGTACACTGGATTTGCCTCGATGTCCAGTCAGCGTAAAGCAGTGGTCATCAACGCCACCGAAGACGTGTACCTGTATGTGTTCTTCACTGACGCCACCGGTGTCAACGACGTTGGAGGTTACATGGCCATCCCCACCGGCGTTCTCACATCCAGTTACATTGCAGTTACTTACAACAGGAACGACGTCAGTCCATACAACAACTTCATTCTGGTGGCAGCTGTTGAAGACAACACCACAGTAACGATGAACGTCAAGCGTGGTGATATGTGTCTGTCTGCGAATACATCGGACGGAGACGTCGTCGTCATCACCCTCAACAGAAACAACGTATTCGGATTCATGTGCAGAGATGACGTTACAGGTACCGTTATCATTAGTGACAAAAAGGTGGTTGTAGTGTCTGGACATGAATGTGCTATGGTACCCGGGGCAGCGAGCAAGTGCAATTTTCTTGTTGAAATGATGATTCCTGTTGAATGTTTTGGGGAACAGTTTGTCTTCTCTCCCCCCAACATAGTCGGTGGTGCCATCTACAGAATCGTCTCGGCGTACGACAACACGGTGATCACAGACAGCTCTGGTTTTACATCAACCCTAAACGTAGGGGACTTTGAAGACGTTGATCTCAGTACTGCTTCAAAAGCACGTTGTATAGAGACATCTCAACCTTGTGTCGTGGTTGTCATCAACGTTGTTACCTTAACCAACATCGCCAGCGACATGGCAATCGTTCCTTCATTTGACAGGTATTTGAACAACTACACCATCGACATCCTCAACTTCGTGGACGCCTTCAACGGGATGTACATGTCGGTCGTTGATGCCATAACGTCCACCGTCACTGTCAGCGGTTGTAATGCCCAGCTGATGACGTTTAAGGTGGAAATACGGACCCAAACTGACTTCGTCAACATTTCCATACCAAAGGGAGTTATAGTGTATGGTCAGTCCCTTGATGAAAATGATATGGCTAGTTTCCCCCTTGGAATGATCTTTGGTACGTATAGACAATTATGAGACGAATTCTTGTAGTCCTGGTTTAAGAAACACGACTGAATGAGTTAAAATTTAAAGTCACATCGGCAGTATTTCAGCCATATTGTGACTTAAGCAACACGAGTCATGATAATATATGTTTATTGCATTTCACCATGGGAATATTTGTATTGTAAGGTCTGATGTTTTTATGTTTTAATAAGAACTTATCATATCAGATCTAGATCATTGTGTGCATATTGGAGTGGCCTTTGGCTAGTCCTTACAAGATAAACCCGAGATAATTGGTTCAAATCGTAATACGAATATTTGAGTATTATGGATACGAACTGATTTTGCAAATTCACAACTTTGAAAAACCGTGTGTAAAATGGCGATACCCCTGCTTAGTAGAACCATAACAGTTCTTTTCTGAGATTCCTGAATCCATGCATATGCTTTTGTTTTGCAAATTCGTGTATTAGTATTATTCTTGTAAACTAATATATTTATATATGACGGAAGTGTATTAAGAATTATGGTGAATCTTTGAGACAAGAATTTACTGATACACCTGCTGGAGTCAGCAAAATATCTCTGCACGGAATTTTAGTTTACCTAGCAGCATTGTTGTTGGTAAACTAAGCTAAACTGTGTGATATATATGTCTTGATCCCGCTCCAGATAAAGATGAGTGCGCCAGTACCCCCTGCTACAACAACGCAACCTGCGATGACCTTGTCTACAATTACGCATGCATCTGCCAGCCCGGATTTAACGGTTCTCTTTGTGAAATAGGTATGAAGTACCACCGGTAGTGCAGAATACGTTATCTTTTTATCAAACACCCGGTGTCAACAATGATTTCAGTGATCTATTATGATTGTCACCCCTATGTCATCGGGATAAGTCATGTGAGGCAGCTTGGGTTATCTGGGCTAATAACAATCAGATTATATTTGTGCGCTTTGAGCAGGCTATGCAGTCTGAAAAAGCGAGTTATAAATATTATAATTATCATTATTATTATTTCGAATTTAACACCTAATGGAATGTTTCGTCGGATAATCAAGACTGTTCAATTTTAAGTTTTATCAATCAATCTTTATTTTATTTGTAGTGGAGGCCATAGGCCCAGGCTACACTTCAGGATTTCAGAGCGGTACATATGTGCATATATAGTTCAGAAGACAATAAGTTAATTTACAAAATATACAAAAGGAAATATTATATTATTGGCATAGAAGTGAATCTCTAAGGTTCATTGCATTGTGAAATATAAATATAGCTAGGTTTTTTACAATATCTGGATTGCCAGTTGACATAAGCATATTAAACTTATGAATAGTGGGATTCGAAAGTTTTATCTTAAAGGCAAGTTGCTCGTGGGAATGTACTTCCATTTTTCGGCAAATTTTGCGGATGACGGGTGAAGCAGTAGGGCAGTACATGCTTACCCTTTTCTCGAACACCTGGTGTCATAACTGATTTTCAGTGATTTAGTCATACAATTTTCACAGTTATGTTCCCTTTTACACCAAACGGCATTTGTTTCTGAGGATAGTCAAGCCTTAGTTTTATTTTGCACCAACGAGCTTTTGTAAACAACAAACATGCCAACTTATTGTCTAATACGGCGAGCCAGAAGGAAGGCCCAAAATAAAGTCGGTCTTAGGCGTTATCTCTTGGCGAATCCGACAAGCACCTGAATTGAATACACACATATTGATACCACATAATATTCTAATAATCCTGCATTTAAATGTAATGCTATTTCAACGTTTAATTCAACATATAGTTATATCATCACTGTAGCGGACCGCAAATATGTTTCTTGAAATATGACGGTTTGTAGTTCATTTCTCTGTTGACTTTGAAGCAGTCATTGTTGACAGACATGGGCGGCTGTTGATACTGCCCTTGTTACAATAATTGAGTTCAATGCGAAACCAAAATGGTTGCAACGGGGACTGTGCAAGGTTTCAATCTGAACCGAAACAAAACAAAACAAGCGGGGCTTGCGTATGTACTGCTATCAACAAACTACACAAGTAATGCTATTTCAACCCAAAATGACAAATTGGAAATGAGTGTTTTGAAACGTATTATATCATTGATATCCTTGTTGACAGACATCGACGAGTGCTGGAACAGCCCTTGTCAGAATAATGCCACGTGTCATGATGACGTCAATGGATTTCACTGCGAGTGCCTCATGGGCTTCAATGGAACTCTCTGTGAAACAAGTAACTGATAGTCTCCTTTCATTGTTCCATATCCACACATTTGTTTCCGAGATTTCAGTAAGAATGTCCATATGTATTCAATACCCTGTCTCCATCGAATTGATTGTTATGTGGATGAACGTCTCTCGGTTTCAATAAATACCCAATGTATAGAAATGGAAATGAGTGTTTTGAAACGTATGAACACACTGATTACACTGTTTGGCAGCACATAAACACTTAACATGTGCTATCATTGTTGACAGACATGGACGAGTGTTGGAACAACCTTCGTCAGAATAATTGATTTCACTGCGAAGCAAAATTGGTATATTTCACTCAGAGTTTTGACAAAAAGATTTATCTGGACTCATCATTTATGTCTACAACTATAGAATATATACACTTAACATGTGATATCATTGTTGACAGACATAGACGAGTGCTGGAACAGCCCTTGTCAGAATAATGCCACGTGTCATGATGGTGTCAATGGATTTCACTGCGAGTGCCTCATGGGCTTCAATGGAACTCTCTGTGAAACAAGTAACTAAAGATTCTACTTTCATTCTGACACATCCGCAATCTCCAACGCTGCAGTTGTCTCGGAGGAGATTTCAGTAGGAATGGCCACATGTATCCAATGCTATCTCAATCAAATGAATTTATTGTTAATTCGCCGAACGTTTTGAAGCAGCTGTTACTGATCGTTTCTCGGTTTACGGGGTGTGGTTTTACGCCAATATTCCAGCAATATCACGGCTGGGGACACCAGCAATGGACTACATTGTACACGTGTGGGGAATCGAATCCGCGTCTTCATCAATTTTACCCATATGCTACCCCACCGCCCCTCTCAGTTTATGAATATTTTGTATTTTTCCCTTATATTTCTTGCTCATGGTGTTTTGGACTAAACATATTTCAACCATTTGCTAGAGCTGATATTACACAGAGTCTTGTTTCCTTAAAGAGTCCTGTATAGGTTAGGAACGTAGCATAACGTGCTCATTACATTCACATAATGACTATCTTAAGTGATGTTGGAATTGACAGCATGTTTACATCTTCCAGACATAGATGAATGTGTAAGTTCTCCATGTCAAAACAACGCCACCTGCAGGGACGACGTCAACGGACTTATCTGCGACTGCCAGGTTGGTTTTGCCGGAGATATGTGCCAAGAAGGTGAGATGTCTCAAGTCTTGAATTTGTAACCTTGATCAAACACCTTTTCAGCAAGAGATTTGTGACGCTCTTTGAAGTCATCACGGAAAGGGCATGGTCAAGTGTACAGACCCGTGCCAGTTATATTCGGACACTTGACGTAATTTAATTTAGTGTGTTTATTTAGTGTGGCATAAATAATTTTCATGAATTTTAATTTTCGTAAGATCCATGTCAAATTTTGCAAACTTGTGAGGAATCATCTTACCTCCAATCACATAATTTCTGTTTAATTTTCCGTGGCTTATTTATCGAATGGCAATAATTTAATCAACATATGTACAGAGCCGTGAACTCCTTTAACATGGCGGCCTATGGGATTGTGCATTGTGGAACCATACGTAAGTTGATAAATGTGATATCATTAGTTAAATATTGGTCCGAGAATTGCACTGAAATTATGTGCGCAGAGCAGAGATGATTTCAAATTTGCCTGTCAAATCTTACATAGATCCATCCTAAACTCACTTCATGAAAATTATTTATGCTATACTGCAATAACATGCAAGTCTATGGAAATTACGTCAAGTGTCCGAATATAACTGGCACGGGTCTGTATCTCAAAACTGATTTCACATTTCTCACATAGTGTGGTGTTAGGAAACAAGCGAACTGTTTTTAATGAAATTGTATTTGTGACTACCGGAAGAGCAGGACATGCTTACCCTTTCCGCGAACACCTGGTGTCATCACTGACTTCAATGCTCCATTCATAACGTTTTCACTACTACTTTGCCTAGTTTGCTCTATGGTGTCTGTTTCACGGCGTATGCGCGAGACTGATTATTCTCTGACGTTGACGTCAAATATTTACATCGAGATTTACAACGAGTGAACGGTTTGAACCACACATACAGTAACACGTCGTTGGTATATCAGTACATGCATGCTAATATGAATCATACATAGCTGAGAAATTGTAGCCATATAATGCTCTGCTTTAACCATGCTTTACGACGTTCTCTCGTGTCCTCTGCAATCTCCGTCATGACAGAATAGACACTACAGTAGTTATACGCCTTGTTCACAAAAAATAGTAATAATCACCATAAATAATCTGAATCACCACAGTAGGACCGGTACAGGTTGCTGGGGACCTATTCTAAGTGAGGTGAGGTGAAATTGGGTTTAACGTCGTGCTTGAGAATATTTCGCTCATATGACGACGTGCATGCGTGTGTATGTGTATGTGCGGCGGCTTGTACTAGCCCAGACTGAAGCTGGTTTTATAGTGCTAGCCCACTGAGATACCATGCCGCAGTGAAGCATGAATACCCCACTCAGACACATTATACTGACTCCAAGCCGACCAGTCCTTGTTGTACCCATTAATGCCGAGCGCCAGGCAGGGAACAACAAGTACCATGTTTTAACGTCTTTTGGTATGACGCGGTCGGGGATCGAACCCTCGACCTTCCGCTCTCCGGGCGGACGCTCTAACCACTACACCACGGAGGCGGTCCTATTCTAAGTAGTAGCTGCAAGACCTTGAAGAATATGAATAGGGAGTGCAAATGGGGCGTGACCACCCAATCTCCATTTTACGCGTTGTAAACGTAACATATTTTCACTTTCAAGGGAAAGACCTTTTGACTACAATGCGTCAATTTAAGTATTTGACGATCGAGATTAATTACGTCCACGTTTTTTGACGACATGTCTCTGACGTTTGAAAACAAAAAAGAAATCAGCGTAATTCGAGTACTTAAGGACTGTTTATAGAGTACAATGTACGATGTTAGGCACAGTTTTACTAATGATGTTTACAGGTTAAACTGTGCAACGTCTGTGTTACAATAGTTTTATGATCTGTTCATGAAACTGGCTCATGATCTACTGTTGAACTCCTGAGAGTTTCTAGGACTTCAGTCCTGTCCCACAACGAGGCACATGTGATATATGTGGTCTCATCTTAGGCAAGTGAGTTTGTTCAAAATTGCCTCTGTTCACCCAGCAGAAAATGGGTACCCGGTGGGATAAGCCATGTGACTATTAACCTTCTAGCGCTTCACAGGCGTTAATAATAATCCGATTGTGATAGTCACCGCTTTGAGCATTGTCCTTGTGTAGTGGAAGTCAGCAATATACAGATAATCTTGTTATTATTTTTATTGATATTATTAAGACGTAAGTCCCAAAACTTTCAAAGTAAATGTAAATTTACCATATTTTAAACGTAGTATCTTTGTTCTTTTAACTGCCGGCTACATTTTCCTACAATCGCCAGCGGCTGAAGGGATGGTGTAAATCCAGCTAGGGTCCATGCAGGTAGCAAAAGTAATGTTAGTCCCCATGGTTCCTAGTATGGTGATCTACCTTCAGTTGTTGGCGATCTATAGCCCGTGTTTTATATTGTATTGTCCTCTTTAATTGAAATGTTTAAGCTTTGCTCGCCAGTTTTATTCATATCTGTGATTCTCTAGTATTTTTACTGCCCATCGTCGACAGGTTTTAATCTTCAAAACGTTTTCTCTTTATATTATATAAATTGTTTCGTCACGATATGGCTGAGATATTGCCGATGTGACGTTAAATATTAACTCCCTCACTCACTATTATTGTTAAAGTTTATATTTGTGATTCTTCCTGCAGACGTGGACGAGTGTCTAAGCGGACCGTGTAGAAACAACGCCACCTGCCTCGACATGGTCAACGGTTACGTATGCCTCTGCTCACAAGGCTTCAGCGGAGGTCGTTGTGAAACAGGTAAGGTTCCTCATTAATTGTAAAACCAAGGATGATAATTCATTATCTATATACTCTACTATACATTATACTCAGAAATTCCTCATTCCAACCATATTCTTTCTTTGTAATCCAAATGCTTCGAGTGAGTGAGTTAATATTTACGTCCCTTTTAGCAACATTTTAGCAATATCACGGCAATATTTAGCAATATCACCAAAAATGGGTTTCATACATTGTACCCATGTGGGGAATCGAACCCGGGTTCTCGGCGTGACGAGCTAACGCTTAACCGCTAAGCTACCTAATCTAATTCTCTTGTACGTGTTAGACATCGACGAGTGCCTGACAACTACCTGTGAGAATGGCGGGACATGTGAGGATCTACCTGGATACTTTCTGTGTCACTGTGAAGCAGATTTCCACGGAGTTACATGCGAAAACAGTAAGTGTACTTCCATTTCATGGTGGAACAGTCTAAACATAGATGTCGAAATTTCGAAGTCACCTCATTCCTATAATAAGACTCCCATTTACATAATTATAATTAAAGACCTTTTTTCATGAATACAGGATTTCCATCGTTACTCCAATTATTCATTAAAATTTCTGTGAGATTCTTCTCGTGAAAGTGGGAAGACCAGAGGAATTCTGAATAATTTTAGATTTATAATGAAGACATACATACATGAACCACGAAAACACCACAATACAACCGTGGTCAAATATTTTCTCACTCTTTACAAAAACAAAACAAAACAATGGAGTAAAATAATTCCTTTTTGTAGAAAAAAAAACAGTAAACCAAAAGCATTCTTAAGTTTCGTTAGATCTCGCAATTGTTTGTTGAGATCCCATAATGTTTGTTTAGATCCCGTGTATTCAACAAATCCGTTAATCACAAATCACACATAAATTTCAAGAGACGTCAGCTTTGTTGTGTAGATACATCTATATGTTTGTGGGTCCAAGTTCTTACTAGTGGTGGTCCGATTAATTGAAATAATCGAAGATTGGTCGTAGTGACTAAACGACCAAGAAATCGACCATAATTTCTCATAATCGAACACAAACAATTCTGGAACACTTGTTTTCATTAACAATATTTTGCACATGGTTGGTTTTGTCTGTTACATTTCGTAAGCACTACAAGCTTGTTTCAAGTCATGATTGAATTTATCTTAAAGATTCCAAGAAATTTATGTTCCTAACATACTAGTCATCCTTTAGATATGTGAAATTTTGCCAAAACCCCAGAAGAACTACATTTTTCCCCTTATTTTAATGTGCATTAACAAATTTCATAAATGACGCTAACCAATTATTTTCGATGATTGATCGGTAGTAATGAACCAATCATCAATTATGATATTTTAACCAATTCCCAACACTAGTTCTTACATATTCCTTTGCTTTCAAAGACGGCTACAAATACGTCTTCACTCGTCTCATCGACGTCGACAACACTCTGCTGACATCATCGGGGGTAACAATAGTTGCAACACAACTTGCTACCGGTATCCGGTTCGAGACCACATACTCCACCGCGCTAGTTATGTCATCCATTTCGGGTGCAGACCCGGAAACAGACTGTGTATGTACCCGCTACAGCAACGGTACCGAGGAGGCGGTTGACGAAGAAGTTCTGATGAGCAAGATCAAGAACGAACTTCTACTGGACACGTCCATCTTGACCAAGACGGTCAACAAGTATGTCTCAAATGAGGATGACCGTCCTTCGGCCAAAGGTCTGGGGAGTGTGGGATGTGTGATCATTGTCTTCACCATCTTACTGATTGTCGCGCCTGATGTTCTCTATGTGTTGAGGAAACTGGATGACAGCAGGAAAAAACGAAGGAGGGCTTTAACCTAACACACGTCACGCAGACAAGTTTCTCAATGTCCACGTGTGAGTTCTCTGAATGATGCCCTCTCACACTTTAATCACACGAAAACTGCATACACAAATGACACTGCCAGAAATGTCTATGCGCGGTCTGCCTACTTCATCTCCATCCATATACACAACACATGTCAAATGACATTGCCGGGCAAAAAGAAAGTTTACACCTGAAAATTAGATTTGACCAAAAAATAACATTCAAACGTCATTAAAACGTTACGTGACTGAAAACCGTCGCCCAAAATGTTATCTGGTAAAAACTCATCCCTATGAAAGACTATAAAATCGCTACAGCTCTCTTTTTGTTTTTAATTTTCCGGGAATCGAATACCATTTGATCACTTTTAAACATGTATGTCACTTCTTTTGCTCGACAGTTTAGTTTGATATACAGATTATTGATAGTCACACTTTTATCTCCAAGGTTTGTTGAACTGTATATTTGTATTTGTGTTTAAATGTCACCAGAACGGAAGGCACAATTTGAATGAGTAATTATAAACGTTCAGAAATAGTGTGGGATTTCAGTTCCGAAATAATCGCACTGTGGTAAGTACGTTCGTGATAACCCTTTACGTCTATGTTACGTCAATGTATATCGATTATATCAGTAACTGCCAAATAGCCCATCTGTTTACTAAAACAATTCAGCGAACGAATGTTGAAAAACAGGAATTAAACCGCCTCAAAATGACACGGTTCCATTGTGTTTTTGAAAAACGGTTTCATGCTCATATCTGGTTTAGCAGCAATAGTTGAAGACATACGAAGGCTCCATACAAAATTTCAGCAACTCCAGTACAGAGTTTGTCCCAGGTGTTCAAGGAGGGTCGGTACTTTTAAGGTACGATCGAACACCAAGAGTTGATGAAACCTAAAGGCACATATCGTACTATTCATGGTCATCGAATTACATTTGATTCTGTAATATATGCGTCCTCATCACTGAGCATGATCATATTACTCTTTCATCGCGAGTGAGTAGCATTGATAACAATAAGTTGTATGTACCCATGCTTCATCGTTTTCCACCTTGTTCAGATCACTAGCACAACCATGTTGTTATTGCAGTATATTTCAAAACTACTCTTTTCTTTTATTCTATTTTCATCAGATTCGTTATTCGCACCTTATTGAAAGTGCAATGCCAAATTATATAAGGTAAGGTATTCCTTCACTGACCATTAATCATTAATGGGTCACGCCTCTTCATCGTATTGATGTTGTCAGAAGATGATTGAACCTGCTCGTTTGATATGTCAATGTAAATAAATTCTGTTGAGAATTTGGGTGTATTTATTGTAAGCACGCACAATGAGTCCATTCCCCAAACCGGAAGTGCAGCGTACAATACTCTTCACAAAAAGCTGGAATATTGCTAAAAGTGGCGTAAAACTAAACTCACTCACTCACTTCAGACATGTCAATGAGTCATGATGAATCAAGGAGCCATACAATGTCTTGTATTCCCACAAAAGGGACATAGGCGTTCAAATTTTAGGTTTAAATACCATAGTGCATGTGTTACACACAGGGCGTCCGCATGTGACTCCCATCCTTATAATGAACGTTACAAAAGCCGCGAGTGAGTTATACCTTTCAACCGGCACACAGAAAAGGATGGAGAGCGCATTAGTGCATAGAGCGAGACATGTCTGCTCAAATGACTTGAGATTGACACTTCTTCTCCAAGAGCAAGCTTACGTTATCAGATCCCTGACTGGATTGTACTTCTTCATCAACTCCAGTGATCCCTGACTGGGTTGTACTTCTTCATCAACTCCAGTGATCCCTGACTGGGTTGTACTTCTCCATCAACTCCAGTGATCCCTGACTGGGTTGTACTTCACCATCAACTCCAGTGATCCCTGACTGGGTTGTACTTCTCCATCAACTCCAGTGATCCCTGACTGGGTTGTACTTCTCCATCAACTCCAGTGATCCCTGACTGGGTTGTACTTCTCCATCAACTGTAGACTGGTAGAGGAATATCTGTCGCAACTGTTAGGAAGGAACATTGCTTAAATTGTTGGAGAAAACTAAAGTAAATGCTGTTACATTAAAAAGTAAGAACTGTGAGGTGAGGTGAAATTGGGTTTAACGTCGTGCTTGAGAATATTTCGCTCATATGACGACGTGCATGCGTGTGTATGTGTATGTGTGGCTGCTTGTACTAGCCCAGACTTAAGCTGGTTTATAGTGCTAGCTCACTGAAATACCATGCCGCAGTGAAGCATGAATACCCCACTCAGACACATTATACTGACTCCGAGCCGACCAGTCCTTGATGTACCCATTAATGCCGAGCGCCCGGCAGGGACCAACAAGTACCATATTTTAACGTCTTTTGGTATGACGCGGTCGGGCATCGAACCCGCGACCTTCCGCTCTCCGGGCGGACGCTCTAACCACTACACCACGGAGGCGGTCATCTATCAGGGTGTGGGATGAAAGAGATATATATGACAATGACTATTGTTTGATGAAGACGGTCTTGGTTCGATTCCTGTTATAATCTAAGGCCAACGCCATTTTGTATATACTAAAATAATAAATTTTAATATAAGCTTGAATATCATGATGTTTAAATTTAGCGAAATTGCTTTAATTACCCTCACTCTAAACCCAACAACATACCCTTCAGTGACTGGTAAATGGGTTGTTCCTTTTTTTTATAGGTAAAAAATCATTTCCCGTTCTGCCTACAGTGACTTTAGTAGGCAAACTCGGAATTAGGCAAATGCGGACTGCAGGCAGATGTAACCGTTTGATCAGATTTAATGCTTATGGAGAATACTGAATGGTCACACAAATGTCAGCTCTCAATATATTGTAAACAGTGTCAGCTTGAATATCTGGACACAGTTTTTAATCTGGACACATTTAATTCATCTCAATTATTTAAAATGAATTATTAAAACTCTAATAACAACGGCACAATATTATTCTCTTCTCATCTGTATACTCTGTGCAGCTTAATTTCACACTGTACACTCCACCCTGTAATCTCTCCTTTGGGTCAGTTCTTTATGCCAGACAGGTAAATGCCACGTGTTGTTTTAACTAATTGTAGGGGTGCTGGGCTGTAGGGGTTTTGGGTGAGGTGAGGTGAGGTGAAATTGGGTTTAACGTCGTGCTTGAGAATATTTCGCTCATATGACGACGTGCATGCGTGTGTATGTGTATGTGCGGCTGCTTGTACTAGCCCAGACTTAAGCTGGTTTTATCGTGCTAGCCCACTGAGATACCATGCCGCAGTGAAGCATGAATACCCCACTCAGACACAGTATACTGACTCCGAGCCGACCAGTCCTTGTTGTACCCATTAATGCCGAGCGCCAGGCAGGGACCAACAAGTACCATATTTTAACGTCTTTTGGTATGACGCGGTCGGGGATCGAACCCACGACCTTCCGCTCTCCGGGCGGACTTAGGGGTTTGGGGAGACAACCAGGAGGGGCGCTGTACTATTGCTACAGCTTAAGCAACAGGTTGAATTTGTAGAAAATGACGACAGTGAAACAAGAAGATCATTATCCAGGCAAAAACAGCTCTCGCATTGTCGTCACAAGCAAACTTACAAATGAAAATAACGTCAATACGAAACATTCATTATTTCGCATCCTGTGCAAAGAGCAAATCGTTGCTACAACGTTGTCACAAGGTTTGTTTTTCTTATGACAACGACAGAAAGGAACATGCTGCTCTCATGCACTTTATATATTGCTGACTTTGAACAAAAAACACTTTAATTCACGTCTTCATCAGTTACCCGCAGACCGTCACAGCTTATCATGCTAAAAACCCGTAACACGTCTAACTAGTTGTATTCTACTCCCGCTTCTTGTATTCGTAATCACGAGGATACACAGTCAACGTCACTTGTTTGAAGTAGCCGTATAATAATTTTACATTGGTGTTGGTGTTTGTTGGTTAACACCGCACTGAGCAATATTCCAGCAATCTGGTCTGTAAATAATCGAGTTTGGACCAGACAATCCAGCAATCAACACCATGAGCATCGATCTACGCAATGGGGATACGATGACATGCGTCAACCAAGCCAGCGAACCTGACCCGTTAGCCGCCTCTTACGAGAAGCATGGGTTACTGAAAACCAACTCTAACCCGGATCTTCAAGAGTAATCTTACATTGATGAATTATACAATAAACCTGAGTGTTGGAACATATATAACATTTAAGGTATATATTGTTTACAAGTTGACAAATTCTATAAATCGGATGCTACCTACTTACTTTGGGAAACATCCAACAACTAAGATTTTCATATTTTATGTCAAAACCAGTTAAACTTCCAAATTATGTAATAAAAACGAATCCCTATTCCGCAGGAGGTGAGGTGAGGTGAGGTGAGGTGAGGTGAAATTGGGTTTAACGTCGTGCTTGGGAATATTTCGCTCATATGACGACGTGCATGCGTGTGTATGTGTATGTGTGGCTGCTTGTACTAGCCCAGACTTAAGCTGGTTTTATAGTGCTAGCCCACTGAGATACCATGCCGCAGTGAAGCATGAATACCCCACTCAGACACATTATACTGACTCAGAGCCGACCAGTCCTTGTTGTACCCATTAATGCCGAGCGCCCGGCAGGGACCAACAAGTACCATATTTTAACGTCTTTTGGTATGACGCGGTCGGGGATCGAACCCGCGACCTTCCGCTCTCCGGGCGGACGCTCTAACCACTAAACCACGGAGGCGGTCCCCATTCCGCAGGAAATAGACATTATTGCAAAAGCAGATTCGATTGTACAATACCGACTATATTATGAGCATGTGTCAATGAATCTCTGAAGAGCGATGACACCAGGTGTTCACGAAGAGGCTGCGACCGGTAGCGCATTCTTCATAAGGCGCATGCAACTACTCATGTGGGAATTTCTCTGTATCTCTGTGATTCATGAGACTAAATCGTCATCGTCGTCATCGTCATATTCTTCGTCGTCGTCATTGCCACCCTCTTCGTCGTCATCGTCACCCTCATCATCGTCGTTATCATCGTCACCCCTCATCGTCGTCATCGTCACCCTCATCGTCGTCGTCATCATCGTCACCCTCGCTGTCGTCGTCGCCACCCTCACTGTCGTCGTCATCGTCACCCTCGTCGTCGTCGTAGTAGTTATCGTCGTCACCCTCGTCGTCGTCGTTATCGTCACCCATATTCGTCTTCGTCACCCTCATCGTCGTCGTTTTGTCACCCAATCGTCATCATATTCGTTACGCTTTACGTTGCCTGTGCACGGGACCATGACCAACGTTAAAGTAAACTCTAAAGAAAACTGTTTACCACATGATACCTGAGGAGAAATCGATAAGGATGGATGTTATGGTGGTGTTTTTCTAGCAGATTGAAGAAGCCTTGACATTTAATGGAAATAGATTGGTCGACAATTTCCAAACAATTCTTCAATATGCTGGAAAAACAATGTTCGTTAGTAATGCAAAATGTATTCATGAGATATAGATTTTAGTTGCTTGAATTCCTTTTGTCAATATCTAACGACAACGCCGAGGATTTGGACGAACTACGGTTAAGAAATTTGGGGATTGATTAAATGTGTTTTCAAAGAACTTCAAAATTCAGAAGAAACGTGTTAAATTCCCATTCAAAAATAATCTTATAGATAGATGGCCAGAATGTTCGTGAACATTTTCGGCCAATAAAGTTTCAAGTAGCAGTAATTGTATTTTACTGGATGTGTGGTAAGTATAGAAATCAATGTAAATTACATGTATATAACTTGGGCAAATATAAGTTAAACATACCGTAGAAATACAGATTTCTATACGTCAGAGGAAACCGTCATTATGCGTTGTGTATATTGTTCATTGTAGGCTTGGAGATAATCTAAATAAAGATAGGTTTCCAGGCAGGTTAGTGCACCACTGACTGACTGAGTTTAGTTTTACGCCGCTTTTAGCAATATTCCAGCAATATCACGGCGGGGGACACCAGAAATGGGCTTAACACATTGTGCCCATGTGGGGAATCGAACCTGGTCTTCGGCGTGACGAGCCAACGCTTTAACCACTAGGCTACCCCACCGCCCCTCAGATCACTAGCACAACCATGTTGTTATTGCAGTATATTTCAAAACTACTCTTTCTTTTATTCTATTTTCATCAGATTCGTTATTCGCACCTTATTGAAAGTGCAATGCCAAATTATATAAGGTAAGGTATTCCTTCACTGACCATTAATCATTAATGGGTCACGCCTCTTCATCGTATTGATGTTGTCAGAAGATGATTGGAACTGCTCGT